AATTATGGTCAAGTGTAAATAAATTGTATAGTATTAAACAAATTAATGTACATTGTTATTATTCTCAGTATAAAAGTTAGTGCTAACCACAGTAACCATGGCTGCTGCAAAACCGGCTAGACACCACAGCCACCACGCAGATGGTGTGCCAACCACTGGAGTGCATTCATACAAGGAGTCACCAGCAGAGACAAAGAAAAGAAGAGGATGTCTCTTTCCACAAAACCCATTTCAGAGTGACAGAAAAAGCATCAGCTTTATGATAATATTGGGGGACCTGAACACATCTATCAGCATTGGAAAGATCATCTAGGCAACAAGTTAACAGACTAACCATTACTCTTTCAGAAGGAGAGAAGAAATCTAGGGCAATTAGAGGGGGCAGGAGGAAGGAGAGAGGTTGGACAAGGGGCACAAAGAATAATTATTATTTGTAACAATGTATATGCTAGTAATATTGATTTAATCAACATATCTCAATGTTCAACCCCCCAAAAATGTATAATCGATTTTGATTCAATAAATAAAATAAATTATAAATAAAATTTTTAAAAAGTTAGTGCTATATTTTTCTTTTTGCTAATGAAGCATCCTTGTTATTTATTCCAATCAACAGTTGGAAGAGTTGTGTATTTTTGGTTGATTTTCCTCAAATTATTCTTTTTTTGCTTTCAGGAATGGTTCACTGTCATTGAGCATTATCACCGAACCAATGCCACCATTACCGAACTGGTCATAGGGAATGAATATTATTTCCGGGTCTTCTCTGAAAACATGTGCGGCCTCAGTGAGAATGCCACAATGACTAAAGAGAGCGCCGTGATCGCCAAGGACGGTGAGTTGGGTGTGGACTGACATTTGGAAACCTTGGTTGACAGTGACTAGACAGAGAAGACTGAAAGGAGAAGAGATGTAGTGAAAGGGAATTAAAGAAGTAAACACACATTGTAAAATTATGGTAATGTGGAAAAAGTAGACATTTACTTCTTTTCTGTTATTTTCATTCTTGGACACCTTCAGTGTAGCTACACATGGACCCCTCTGCAATGAATGGAGAAGCTGAATTCTATCCTTATAATTTCATCATAAATCACTCTCTTTTTTAAAGCCCTTCCTTGTGATTTTCACATTAGGACAAATTTCTGATCAGAACACTCAGACACCAAAGTCTTCCCAATATTTGTTAAGATTTCAGATAACCACTCTGGCTTTCTGTCACATGTGTGGTTGACCATACACTTGTACCCCTCAGAATGTATGCTGTGTGGCATTTGCTCATGTTTTTACATGTTTTTCTAAACTCAGGGAAGTTTTAATCATGAATAAATTATGCCAAGAATAATATGTTCTCAGACCAATTTGTATACTTTTAACATATTTTTAATGCTTGTTTTTAAGGTAAGGTCTACAAAAATCCAGTGTATGAAGACTTTGATTTCACAGAGGCACCCATGTTTACTCAGCCTTTGGTTAACACCTATGCTATCGCTGGTTACAATGCCACCCTGAACTGCAGTGTGAGAGGAAATCCTAAGGTACCATGTTTTTCTATCACATCAGCTAAATTTAAGAATTGACCCCAAAGTCCCTCTTCTGTTTGCCACAGTATAACTGTAAATAATAGGATAAATGGACCTTCCGGCAGCTAT